TCAAACTGCTGACCTTGAGGTTGGCAGCCCGACTCGTAACCACTACACTACCAGAGCTCCTTGTTGTTGTTGTTGTTATACGTCATGGAATCAGTTCCAACTCGTAGTGACCCTGTATACAGGGTTTCCGAGGCTATAAATCTTTACGGGAGCAGAACGCCTCATCTTTCTCCCACGGAACAGCTGGTAGTTTCGAACTGCTGACCTTGTGGTTCTCAGCCTGATTCGTAACCACTACGCTACCAGAGCTCCTAAGGGTTGGACTAATTGGTTATCATCACTTACAAAACTATCTTGAACTTAACAAAGCTTATGTTGAGAAATAAAATCTGTATTTTCTATTTTTGTATTTTCATGCTTTGGACATATTATCAGGAGGGACAAGTAGAGAAGGGTAAAGTGGTACAGTGGAGGGTCAGAAATAAAAAAAAGGGAACGCTCCAATGAGATGGACTGGCACAGTGCCAGCAGCAATGGGTTCAAGTGTAACAACTGTAAGACTGGCACAAGGCCAGGCAGTATTTCGTTCTGTTGTCATGCGGTTGCTGAGTCAGAACCGATTCGACAGTACCTGACAACACAAATTTTTGTATTTTAATTTCATTTTTCCATAAGGTTTTGAAGTCCCCGCAGACAACTCAGAGCAGAGACATGGATTTGACTTTAAGGTGTACAATCGTTCTCACCTCCTTTGTCAGAGTTGCTCCTCTTCCATTAACTCACTACCCACTAAGGTTCCTGTCTAATCTCTGAAGTTGTTGTCGATTTGATACCACAAATAGACCACAATGTTCCAGACAAGACCTTTTTTAACTTTTTGAAGGTAAACAATTGTTTTATTTTTAAGAAGATTTTAAGGGATGTTTTTGGTTTAAAGTTTAAAGACTGTCTCAGGACAAAGATGATCATTCAGCTTCCAGAAAGTAAGAGTCCACAAGATTTTGAAATTCTGTTCTGTATTTTCCCCACTTTTGATCAGGATGTTTCTATAGAATCTTTGATCAAAATGCTTACTAACGGTAGCTGGGCACCATCCATTTCCTCTTGGCAAAGGAGGCAGGTAGGTGTTCATGAAACCTTTTTACTTTCTGGATTGTGTCCTTTAAAATACAAGTTTTAATTTTAATTGTGATGAGTCCAATTTATCCCTTTTTTCTTTTTTGATTGGGTTGCTTGTGCTTTGGCTGTCGCATCTAAGAAGGCTTTGCCTAACTCAAAATCAAAATTTACCCCTGCATTATATTTGAAGAGATTTCTAGTTTTGCTCTACACTTTCTTTTAACTAAACACAGAGCCTGGTGTCCAGGTTAAAGCATTCAGCAAGCAACAGTAGGTAGCTAGAAGTAATTAACATTCTGCATTGCCTTGATACAGACTTCTGGTGTGGCGCTGAGGGATAAGCACTGGACTCTGAATCACAAGGTTGTTGGTTCAAACTCAACAGTCGCTCCCCGGAAACTCTGTATAGGTTCGCGGTGAGTCGAAACTGACTTGACAGCACTTAACAGGAACAATAATGAAATCACCTTGCTAGGTGTTTTACCCTTTTTTTTTACAAGAAAAAGAGTCTGGCTTTCCATATGCTGCAGAAATATAAAGCCTTCTTTCAAAACAAATTTACTTCAGGAAAAAGAAAATGTTTTTAAATATCAAGGGAGAAAGAGGATGCTTTCTGCTCCTGTAAAGATTTACAGCCTCAGAAACCCTGTGCTCTGAGTCGGAACCAACTCAACAACACACAGCAGCATGAAGGGACTAACAGGCTGGATTAACAGAAGAATAAACAAATCTGTCTTGGAAAAGATACAGTCAAAAGTGAGGATGGTAAAACTTCGTCTCACGTACTTTGGACACGACATCTAGAGCAAGCAGTCCCTGGGGAAAGGTATCATGCTTGGTAAAGTGAAGGGGCAGCAAAAAAGTGGAAGACACTCTGCAGTATGGTATGGTGTAGTGATCTAATGCCTCTTCTAAACATAGTCTGTAACTTCCACCAAACAATGTTTCCACCCAACTGGTTCTGAATAAGAGAAGGCGGGAGAAGATAATAATAGGATGATAAGATTGAGCTGTGGAAGTTAGCAAAGGTCACTGTAATTGTAAAAACTTGAAACTCTAGCATGGGTATAAAATGAGCCATCTCGGAAGCAGGAGAGGGGATCTCACCACCATCAAGAAAAAAGAGCCATCTGTGGACCCAGTTGGGGACCTGGTTGGCAAGCAGTGTGAAGAGGCCTGGGGACTCGTGGGCCCAGAGTCAGTGGCATGGCCACGGAGGACTCGAGAGGAGAGTGGAGCTACCGGCTGACGGGAAGAGAGGACATATGCACAGGAGCGCCCAC